AATGGTGTTCGGTTTGTAAAAGAATGACCCATATATGTACAGTTTTGATTTTGTATATGTATATGTAACACCAAAATATGTACTAAGTAAAAGAATTAAACTTCCCAGGAAATTGTCACTATCATTTTTTTATACTAATCTTTTTTATGGTTTGTTTTTCTCTTATATTAGAGGTTTTGAGAAAAGGAGTTATTTCGCAAAAAACCAATGAATTTAATTCGTGGTTCAATGTAACATGTCAAAAGTTATTTTTCAATACAAATACTGTTGTAAGTTCTTTATCAAAACCAACAATCAACATAGATCTAGGTACTTATCAACCTTTTTATTATTACATCTCAAATAACATTTCTTGCGCGAAAAGTTTGCGCGCGTTAAATATGTAAATCTTGTATATGATTTGCCTGAATTTTGTTTGTCAACATATTTTATCGCGCACAAGCGTGTATATTGCGCACAAGAAACTATTTAATATCTATCCAATATACCAATAAATAACGCGCAAATTGCTAACATATTGCAAGTTATTTACTCTTAATTCGACAGTGTATTACTTAGGACGAATGAGTCGCCCTTGTGTGTGATAAGTGAATATTCACGTACAAAATGCTGTGTAGATTTATTGGTTATATGCTGTTTATATGACGACGCACTGAGATACGATTTTGCACGCAAAATGTTATCTGGGATGTGACATTTTATATTTTTAAAAGTATTTTTGAATAGCAATACACAATAATAATATTATATTTGTAATCGATAACATTTTCCAAATTTTTTTTAATATACCCACACAGACATTCATCCATCTAGACATCCATTAGATATCTATTAGATGTCGCATGGAGCTGTTGACGTCTAATAGACGTCTAATAGAGTTTTTGTTCTGTGTGGGTAGTATGTATACAATACTTGTGTTACTATAATCATATCTCACAGATGACAAAATTTGTCCTGAGGGAAAAATTGGGCCAGAATGTTCCTTTTCTTGCAAACATGATTTGGACAGTTCTTCTAATTGCAAAGGAACTGCAATCTGTTACAATACCGGTTGCTTATGTTATCCAGGATTTCAAGGCGGTACATGTTCTGATGGTAAGTAAATTGGAATAGTTCACTTATAGTTTTATTATATTTTAATATAACACACTGGTAATACATATTAATAATATATACACAAGAGTGCACTATATCGTGCGGCTCCAAAAAAAATATTTCTCCGAAATTTCTCTTTTGATTGCTCCTACTACTGCGCGCTTATTCTTCTTCAGTTTCTGCCAACGGCTCCAGATCGAAGGAGAACAGCGCGCGGTAGTAAAAGCAGCCGGAAAAGAAATTTCCGAGAAATACTTCCCCTGGAACCGCACAATATAATGCACTTTTCTGTACATGTAATTGCAGTATGTGACGACAATTGGTATGGTTATGATTGTAAGAANAATTGCGATTNATGCAAATCGTCTGANTCGTTTGGATGTAACAAAATAACTGGAGAATGTGTTAACAAATGCGTTAACAGCTCAGACATTATTTACGTGCCACCTTTATGTCATATAGGTAATTTAGTACTTTTCTTGGTTTATAGTACATTACTTTTATATTTCTCAAACACTTTTATCAATATAATAGCTGTTAAACAAACGAATGCTATATTACCTTTTAAGGTATAAAGAAACTCACATTACCTAAAATTGTCTTTGTCAATTCAACAAGCATCAAAACTGAACTTCCTATAATATGGAAAAAGGAATATGAACAAATAAAGATAAAGTATTCATTTACTATTAAGGTAAATGCTACTTTCTCTACTAAGTTTTATTATAATAATGGAAAAAAATCGTTTTTTTGATAATACTTTATTATAATAAAACCTATTTTAATACTCTAATATCCACGTCTTTTTACGCAGACAATAGTAAGCTGAAAAACTTTTTACTTTATTTTTTACAGGGACAAAATAATTACACTTTTTCACAATCATGGAATAGACTGTTTCAAAATATGACACATTTGACGGGATATTTCACCAAGTTAAATCCTGGTTCTGTTTATTCAATCAAGTGCATAGTATTTGCAGGAAATGCAATAATTCAAAGCAACTGGAAAACTGTGGAAACTGAGTGCGAACGTGAGTATCGATACTTTTGTTTCTTGTGTATGAAGTTTTACATGTTTGTATAAAACACAACTATCACAATATTGCTGACAAAGAGAATACAAAAAAAACTTCACAAAATGTAAAGTTAATTATTTTATACTCCATAATATGCACAGATTACTATATGCTTATCAATATATTTATCATTTGTTTTACTTATATTCGCATTTTTTATCTTCTAACTGCATTTCGTATCTATATTTTCCAACAGATTGCTTTAAGAAATATTATTGTTTTATTTAAATTTCGATGTATGATTGTTTACATGTATTTATATTTAAAATTTTCAACACAATTTAGTTGAAGCAGCATTTGACTTCTTTAATAGTATATTTTCTATTATCGATATTACACTCTTAAATCAGCAACACGCGATACTTTTTTGTCGTAAAACTCGAAAAATGTTTCCATCTTAAAGATTGCAAGCAATCCATCACAAAAAAAAGCATCATATCTCATAAAGTTTAGTTCCGTGTAAATTTATAAGATCTGTCACATTTTTATATAATTATATATTTATTTGTATATGACATATAATAAGTAGCATAATAAGAAATAAATCAATATTTGTGTTTAAAAATGCATCACCGTATAGAAAAATACAGATAATACAAAATTTAATACATAAATACATAAGTTAGTACTAGATATTATCATAAAAAGTAACTTTAAAATTTGTAAAGTTTATTTATGTTTTCTTTGCCAGCAATATTGTGGTGCGCGTGTTTTATGCAAAAGTTTTTCTATAATTTTCTTTTTTTATAGTATATACTCACTTTTATAATACTGATATATTTTTTGTCATACTACAGCAATACAAACTTTCAACATACTGTCCACGGAAAATAGCATACGTATTGATTGGCAAAACAATTCACATGTATGTACATAGTTTGCTATTTATTTAACATAACTTCTAACGTAACTTTATATACACTGTAGTATGTATTGAATGTGATATGTATTGAATTAATATACTATCTTGATTTCTTTTTCTTCTATACTAGCACTTATTTCCATGTCCAGCACATTGGTATTCTGTAACTCTCCAGAATAGAAATACAGGCGAGAATATTCGTAACTCAACAGTTATCACTTTTCCTCATGAAGTGTCAGATTTACCGCCATATAGTCCGTTCAATGTGATTATAATTCATCCGCAACTTGCTCACACAACCATAAACCGTAGCTACATGTTTTTTACTTATATTCGTACCTTACGAAGCGGTAAGATTGTTTTTATACTGAAGGTTATAGTACTGAAAAAAATTGTTAAAAACATATTATATATTGTTACGCGGCGGACATCGAGTAGGGGAGACCGGGGCTAGTTGTGACACGGGGTTAGTTGTCAAACTGCTATTATCTTGCTTACTAAATCTTGGAAAATATTCTTCTTTTTATTGTACGTTGCTACTAGTTGTGTTAGTAACGTGTACGAAAGAACTTTTCT